GCGTTGGGAAAAAAATTAAATTCAGTAACCATTCTAGTGCTGACTCAAGGTTGTGGAGATTCTGTGGTGGGAAGGGCATGATTCTTACCTCACTACAGTAAAGGAGACTCACATATACACACAACTACAAAATAAAGCAGAACTAGGTAAAGACATAGCTACAGAGACAGGGCATTCTAGCAAGATTTTAAGAAAAATACAATTTTATTCATTAAGGATGCAAATTATTCATAGTGCCCATCTTTCTAATATTGAGGCTGCTTTAACTGGCTCTTGGAAGCCCTAAGGACAATTATTTCCCCAAATCAGAAGCATGCCTCTTTATGTATATGTGTCATAAGTTTTTTATTTACTGCTTTTCCTAAATTTCGGTACATATTATAGAATTGTATGTAAGATTCTAGACTTCCATTTAAGTACTGTGAATGTGATTTCTTAAGATACATGTTTTTATGAAGAGAATTTCTATTGCTTTTTGAAATGTGCCTTTCACTAATGAATTTTGTAATGTCAAAAGATTTAGAGCTAAAAGGAATACCAGTACTGCATATGGTCAACTTACAGACTTCCCTGCGGTACCCAGTCAAAAAGTCAAATGCTATATAGCTGGACTAACTGGTACTAGATTTGCAAAGTTATGATGATATTAAAAGATTCACTTTAGATTTTTTATTTGCAATGACAGCACAATACAAAGTCAGTAGCTCTTGATTTTCTTGCTATATTATTTCCAGTGACCATTGATGCTAATGTGGAACACTTCCTGCTAGTTATTCATTGATTAAAAAAAACAGTCATTTTTTTCCAGAGACTGGGCAGGAGATGTCAAGAAGTAGTAAGTAGTGAAATGAAAGAGGAGAATGCAAAGGAGCCAAAAGAGAAAACATGAAAATGATGTTATTTTTTCCCCCTTGTGTATGCAGATGGACAGGAAAATTATAGCAGTAATTGCAGACTCCTTTTCACTGAAGACAGAATGGCCTTGGGGAATCAGAGCATGGGAGAAAAAGTTCAGTGAAACTGCATTCTCATCCAGGCCCCACATGACTTGCTGGATATGGCTTTGTCCAAGGTCATTTACTCTTTCTGTGCCTTAGTTTCCTTAAATGTTGAATAACATTATTCGCCTTTTTAAGTTACTGAGAAGATGAATGAGATCATGCTTCAGAAACACCCAAAACTGGTCACAAAAAGGTGCTATAAGAATACTAAGTAGTACTATTATTATTGAACTGTGCATCCTGTTGGAGTGAGTCATCTTGCTGCAAAGATGCATAAGTGATTCCAAGTGTGGTAAAAGACCAGAGACAATGAGAAGAGGCAGTTACTCTTAGATGGTGTTAAGGGAGAAGATCTCAGTCGCAGTGAAATCTGCCCTGTTCAAAGAACAAAAGCAGGAGGAAGGTAGACAAGACTTATTTTTTAACTACAGGCATACCTAGGGGACACTGCTGGCTCATTTCCAGGCCACCACAATAAAGCGAACGTAGCAATAAAGTGAGTCACACAAATTTTTTGGTTTCCTAGTGCATGTATTAGTTATATTTACACTATACTGCAATCCATTAAGGGTGCACGAGCATTATGGCTAAAAAATGTACATACCTTAATTAAAAAAATACTTTAGTCAGGCACAGTGGCTCACACCTGTAATCCTAGCACTTTGGGAGGCCCAGGCGGGTGGATCACCTGAGATCAGGAGTTCGAGATCAGCCTGGCCAACATGGCGAAACTCTGTCTCTAAATAAAAATACAAAACTTAGCTGGGCATGGTGGCACACGCCTGTAATTCCAGCTAATCAGGAGGTTGAGATAGGAGAATTGCTTAAACCCTGGAGAAGGAGGTTACAGTGAGCCAAGATCATGCCACTGCCCTCCAACCTGGGCAACCAAGCGAGACTCCATCTCAAAAAAAAAAAAAAAAACTTTAATGGTAAAAAATGCTATCGATCATCTGAGTCTCCAGCGAATCCTAATCTTTTTGTTGGTGGATCTTGCCTCATTGTTGTTGATGGCTGCTGACCAGTCAGGCTAGTGTTGATGGAGGTAAGAGTGGTTGTTGCCGTTTCTTAAAGGCAATAATGAAGTTTGCTGCATTGATTGACCCTTCCTTTCATGAAAGATTTCTCTGTAACATTTGATACTGTTTGTTAACATTTTACACACAGTATACTTCCTTAAATTGGAATTAATCCTTTCAAACCCTGCCACTGCTTTATCAACTAAATTTATATAATATTCTAAACCATTTGTTGTCATTTCAACAATGTCACAGTATCTTCTCTAGGAGTAGAGTCCATCTCAAGAAATCACTTTCTTTGCTCATCCATAAGAAGCAACTCCTTCAAATTTTACCATGAGGTTGTGGCAATTCAGCCCCATCAGGCTCTACTTCTAATTCTAGTTCTCTTGCTATTTCCATATTTTTAGTTACTGCCTCCACTGAAGTCTTGAACCCCGCATCCACAAGGGTTGGAATCAACTTCTTCCAAACTCCTGATAATGTTTATCTTTTGGCTTCCTCCCTTAAGTCACAAATGTCCTTGATGGCATCTAGAATGATGAATCTTTTCAATATACCTCTTCCAGATCCATCCAAAGACCCACTATCTATGGCAGCTATAGTCTTATGAAATGTACTTTCTACATAATCAGACTTGAAAGTCACAATGACTCCTTGATCCATGAACTGCAGAATGGATGTTGGATTAGCAGGCATGAAAACAACATTAATCTCCTTGTATGTCTCCAGGAGAGCTCTTGGGTAAGCAGGTGTACTGTCAATGAACAGAAACGTTTTGAAAGGAATCACTTTTTTTTCTTTTTTTTTGAGCAGTAGTTCTAAACAGTGGACTTAAAATGTTCAGTAAGTCATGACAGATGTGCTGTCATCTTTGCTTTGTTGTTCCATTTATAGAGCATAGGAAGAGTATAGTTAGTATAATTTTTGACAGCCTTAGAATTTTTGGAATGGTCAATGAGCACTGACTTCAACCTAAAGTCACCAGCTGCATTATCTCCTAACAAAAGAATCAGCCTTTCCTTTGAAGCTTTGAAGCCAGACATTGACTTTTCCTCTCTAGCAATGAAAGAAAGTCCTAGATGGCATCTTCTTCCAATAGCAGGCTGTTTTGTCTACACTGAAAATGTTTAGCGTAGCCACCTTCAATGATCTTAACTAGATTTTCTGGATAACTTGCTGCTGCTTCTACATCATTATTTGCTGCTTCATCTTGTACTAGTGGGTGATGGAGATGGTATCTTTCCTTAAATCTCTGCTGGCTTCAACATTTTCTTCTGCAGCTTCTTCAGCTCTCTCAACCTTCATAAGATTGAAAAGAGTTAGAGCCTTGCTCTGGATTAGGCTTTGGCTAAAGGGAATGCTGTCGCTGGGTTGATTTTCTCCCCAGACTACTAAAATTTTCTCCCTATCTGCAATAAGCCTGTTTTGTTCTCTTACAATTAGTGTATTCACTAGAGTAGCATTTTCAATTTCCTTCAAGAACTTTTCCTTTGCATTCTGAACTTGTCTAATTATTTGACACGAGGCCGAGCTTTTGGCCTCTCTTGGCTGTTGACACATCTAAGCTTTATCGTTTTTAGCTTTTGATTTAAAGTAAGAGACATGCAACTCTTCCTTTCACTTGGTCACTTAGAGGGCATTGTAGGTTTACTGGTTGGCTTAATTTCAATATTGTTGTATCTCAGGGAACATGGAGGCCCATGATGAAGGAAAGAGAGGAACAGTTGGACCATGGAGCTGTCAGAACACATGCATTTATTAAGTTCCCTGTCTTGCATGGGCTCAGTTCATGGTGCCCTCACAACAATTCCAACAGTAACATCAAAGATCACTGATTACAGATCACTGTAACAGGTACAATAATGAAAAAGTTTGAAAGATTTCAAGAATTACCAAAATGTGCCACAGAGACACGTAGTGAGCAAACGCTGTTGAAAAACGGTGCTGACAGACTTGTTTAATGCAGTTGCCACAGACCTTCAATTTGTAAAAAATGAAATATCTGCAAACAGCAATAAAGTGAATTGCAATAAAACAAAGTAGGCTTGTACAGCAAAGCGGTTATACAAATAGACTTTTGAAATCCTACAGTCAGTTTGAATCCAGGCTTTGGCAGTTATCACTACGACTGGGCAAACTACTGTGTTTTTAAAGTTCATTTTTCCTATCTGTAAAATGGGGATTTTTATAGATTATACACACACACACACACACACACACACACACACACACACAAAGGGTTGTTGTGAGGATTTAAAAATGTACACCAGCACAAGGACTCAGTAAAATAAGCTATTATTATGATCTATTGGAGACAGGGGGAAGTAAAAATCCACACTGATATTAAACGAATCTTTAAAATCAAGTACAAGAATAAGAGAGTTTTTATAAGGTATGACTTAAAGGGCCTACGAAGAGAAAAAACTTGTTTTGTCAAGTCTAAATCCACTCGTATTTCATGGGGCCCGTATGTAGTCCAACCTTTGATATCTGGCGCACAACAAACAAACAGGAAAAGCCTTCCGTGTGCTGTAATAAAAACAGCTTTCCATTTTAAAACGATAAATATATTTGAAAAATCAGTTGGCTCTCCAACAGCTCTTACAAAACAAAGCTCAGACGCTGTGTTTTTGTCGTTTGGAAGAGAGAAGTCCGGCGCGCGGGGATGACTCGCTCCCTTTGAATCGCGCCCTGGGATGGCAAGCCTTCGGGCGAAGCCCTGGGGGCAGGACGCGGTGGTTTTTTTTTTTTTTTTTTTTTAATCGATCCCGGAACCTTAGGGCGGTGGGGTGGGCGGGCAGGCGGGAGGGGCCCGAGGGAGGGGTCTGGCCGTGGGGCGCGGCGCCGCGCGCCCATCCCCCGAGCGCGCGGCGGGGCGGCAGTCCGGCGGCCGCGGGGATGCGGAGGGGCGGCGACGGGGGCCGGACCCTGCCGGGGCGGCGGGGCGGGCGCCGCCCGAGGGGGTAGGGCGCGCGCGGGGGCGCGCCGGGCCGGAGAGGCGCGCTCCGGCCGCGCTCGCTCCGCGTTCCCTTCGCTTCCTTCGCTCGCTCGTTCCCTCCTCCCTCGGCAGCCGCGGCGGCAGCAGGAGAAGGCGGCGGCGGCGGCTGGGGATAGACATGGCGGCGGATCTGAACCTGGAGTGGATCTGCTCCCTGCCTCGCTCCTGGACTTACGGGATCACCAGGGGCGGCCGAGTCTTCTTCATCAAGTAAAGAGCCGGGGACGGCGCGGGGGCCCCGCGGGGGCGGGAGGGCAGGGGGCGGGCGGCTGGCGAGACCGGGGAGAGCCCAGGTCTGTGCCCCTGCAGCCCCTCGGCTCGCCCGCGCGTCCCCTCTCACGCTGGGTGTCTGCCCCTTCTCTCACCCCTGCAGCGAGGAGGCCAAGAGCACCACCTGGCTGCACCCCGTCACCGGCGAGGCCGTGGTCACCGGACACCGGCGGCAGAGCACAGGTAACGCCGGGCCCGAGTGGAGTTGGGCTCCGCCTGGAGGAGGCGGCAGAGCCTGGGCCGCCCGGCTCCCGGCAACCTGCCCCGAGCCGCGGGCCCCGGGAGGCGGCGAGGCGGGGCGGGGCGGGGCGGGGAGGGGGGCGGCCGCAGGTAGAGTGGCCGCGGGGGGCTCTTCCGCCGGGAGTTCTCTCGAGTCTCCCGGCGTCTCTTTCTCCTCAGCACTTGGAGACGGCGCCCTCTTCCTGCGCCCTCTCCCCCATCCCAACCTAGGCTACCCCCGCGCCCCAGAGTGGCGGCGCTCCCCTCCCTGAAACCTGGACTCCTGAGTTTTCCCTCCGCGGACGCTCCCCACCCTCGGGTGACCCCCTGCTGCAGTCTTGCCCCCCAGCAACCTTTAGGAAGTCCTTACCCACTCTTAAGCCCCCGACCCTGCTCGCCCGCCGGGATAACAGAACCACATCCTCCCCCTCCTCCCGGGAGCGCTGCCTCCTGCCGTGCGGCTTCCTCCTCCTGGGTGGGAGTTGCGGGTAGGTGGCTGATGGAGGAGGAGGAGGAGGAGGAGGAGGAGGAGGAGAGGAGTTCGGGGGTGCTGCGATGGTCTCTGACGGGGAACGGCTTGGGAAACGCAGGGCGCGTTGCCTCCTGCCACAGCAGGAGCAGCCGGAGCCGGAGGAGGCGTTCGCAGCCTCTGTAGCTGGCGATCCCGATTCAGAGTCCCCGGCAGCCGCATGGAGGTTGCACAGACTGCCTGGAGGCGGTGGGCGTGCGAGGGGGTGTCCCGTGTGTGGGCACCCAGGCCCCGTTTGGAGGGGGTCCATCGGGAAGCGGCTCTCTCTGGTGGCTTTGGGAGCTTGTTTGAATGCTTAAGTGTGAGTGGAGCTGGAAAAAAGGCTCATCGTAGTTTCTGTGCTGGTCTGGGTTTCTTTTGTCATTCTTTGTTTACATTCGTGAAACTTGTTTGTCTTTGAAATGTAACAAAGTAACAAAATGTACCGGCCTGCCTTTAGTCCTGGTGATTGGAAAGGCTTGAGAGCAGTTTGGGTCCAAGGCGAGGCCACTTTGAGCAGTCCTCAGAGCTGGCCTCTGGGGTGCATTCTCTCCGACTCTGACATTCCCTGCATCTGTTAGTTGCCAGGATATTGAACAAACCTGCCTCTCTGTTAAAAATGCTGGAGTTCACTGAAGTGACTAACGTCTCCAAATTTGCAAAAAGGTGGAGGAGGAAAGGAAAGGCTGGTGTAGCAAGCATGACGAGGTTATATTTTAAAGGCATTTCTGACTAACACACCGTCATGTTTCTCAATTCTCCGGTGCGGGCTTTTGCTTCAATATACCTTTCTAGTGTTTCACACGCATATTCCAACTTTGATGACCTCTTTGCTTTTATGGGTAATAACAGATTGATTTCATAAAAGAGGATATGGTATTTAAGTTAGTTAGGTTAATTATCCTATGGAGTTATGTGTGATACAAATATTTGTCTTAGTTACCCCCACAGATTTGATAACAAACGTGCCACAGAAAAATTTTACTCTCTTATGTGATTTCACATTTTTTTTTCCTGGTTTGGTTTACTTTGCTTGGACTCTATGGTTTTGTATTCATATCAGCTGTTTTTATTCCCACAAGGTATTTTGATGAAATCCAAACAACTTGTCATTAATAAGTAATATGTAACACATAATAATACCATTATTCACCTGAATCATTCCCAACGTTACTACCTGAAACTTAACGTCTCTTAGTCAAATTTTTAGAAACACACACGGAAGTATTCCATGACATTTCTTTTCCACTAATTAAGTACCTAGGAAGTTCTCCCTTCTCTTCGGTGACACTACCTAGATGAATTCATTTGTGTAGCTGAAAATATGGTCTTAAATAGACACCATATACCCAAGAAGAGGCAGGCGTTGCCTGTTATACACAGTTTTGGTTTTCTACTAGTCATTCATGGGTGTTTCACCCAGGATTAGGAGGCTTCCCTTTGCTTTCTTGGGTGCCAGAACATAGTTCCTCTCCACCCTAATACCTTACAGTGTGTACTCAGGTCAGATCATCTCTAATATTGTGGATACTTTTCTGGTGTCTTTAAATTTGAATTGCTATTTTTCAAAAAATGATATCTGCTATTGTACTCTCAACACTTTTTTTGGTTAGAAATCGAAATAGCTAATAAATGAAAATGAATAATTAAAATGGATTGAGACTTATTTTGCTATCATTGAAGTAATACTAATTGTAATATATGTATTGTTTTAGATTTGCCTACTGGCTGGGAAGAAGCATATACCTTTGAAGGTGCAAGATACTATATAAAGTGAGTTTTTTGACTTTCATTTTTTTTCTTCGTAATTAGAATGCTGTGATTACTCCTCAATTGAATAGTTGTATTCCCAGTCGTCATCATGATTTTCTAAAGTTGATCATATAATGTTGACTGTATTTTTTATTTGGTATAGTATTGGAATTTTGAGAGAAAAAAATGACACTCAGTTTTCGAATATTATTTGCCTGGAATATTCATTGATTTACTCATTTGGAAATTAGATCATTTATGGCCACTTTTAAAAATAATTTTTTTTCTTTTTTTTTTTTTTTTCTTTTGGAACAGTCCAGCTTCATCAGAATATAACCACAATTACCACCCTTTTTTTATTTTTTTTTTTAAATTTTTGGTGCTTCTGTGTGTATTCCTGGGTAATTGAGGATTATAGTCTTTGGTCATTAGCTATGTGGTACTTAAAGTTTTGGTCTTTGATTCTCTGTGCTAAAAGATAATAAACAAAAAAATCTTTGAGTTATGTGACAATCTTTTTTTTTTTTTTTTTTTTAATGAACCTTGTTCATATGTATTTTCACCAAGGCTGTTGATAGGTAGCAAAGATGATGTAGAGCTAAGCACATTTTGATAACAATGACGGTCAAGGAGTAAAAATAGAGATAATTACTGACTATTTCATGAGCATATATTGGACCATTGTTTATATTTTTGCTTCAATTTATTTAAATATATCTAAGTCAGGATATTTTATTGATACGTTTGTTTAATAAAGGCTTTAGTAGAGCTGGAGAGAAAAGATGACCAGTCAGTTCCAACCTTAAAACCAGTTCTTTAGAAAATTGAACTAATTTCTGTTCAAACTTAATAACTTAGTACAACTTGGAGATGATTACAAAGCTGGAGGTCAGCATCATGTAGAAAAATTTTAATCCCCCAAGGAAAAATATAGGTGGTTTTGTCTTTTTATTTTTATATTAGAAACTATTTACCTAAGAGCTTGTTTTTATTGTTTAACATTTTTTGTTGTTTAATTTTAATAAACTGAGATGTGAAAGAGAATACTGAAATGCCAAATTTGGTTAAGACTTCAGTAGTTGGGGAGGAAGGCAGCAAACCACACTGCCATGTGTGTACCTATGCAACAATCTTGCATGTTCTTCACATGTACCCCAATACCCCAAAACCTAAACCTAAAATGCAATGAAATATATATATATATATGTATATATATATATATGACTTCAGTAGTTTATTAACAATAACAGATACCTAGCTAAAGTTACCTTTATTTCATTAAGCCTAGAAAGTTATTTTTACTATGACATTTTTTTTTTTTTTTTTGAGACGGAGTTTCGCTCTCGTTACCCAGGCTGGAGTGCAATGGCGCGATCTCGGCTCACCGCAACCTCCGCCTCCTGGGTTCAGGCAATTCTCCTGCCTCAGCCTCCTGAGTAGCTGGGATTATAGGCACACGCCACCACGCCCAGCTAATTTTTTATATTTTTAGTAGAGACGGGGTTTCACCATGTTGACCAGGTTGGTCTCGATCTCTCAACCTCGTGATCCACCCGCCTCGGCCTCCCAAAGTGCTGGGATTACAGGCTTGAGCCACCGCGCCCGGCCGTTTACTATGACATTTTTAAGATCATGTTATACTTCCAGTAAATTGTAATTACCTGTATGGTTCTTTATTCTTTTGGAAAGATACTTATATAAAATGTCAAGGGCTTTTTATAGGTATTAGGAGTGCTTGCTTTTGGATATAGAAATAGAGAAAGCAGAAGATACAGGAATGAAATAGTTCAATGGTATGGTCCTCTGAATATTTTTTGGTGAAATATTTTATTTGGAGCTTATACTGTACATTATTAGATGGCCTAAAAAAATACTTGAGTGAAATGCAGTCATCTCATAGTTTTTTGTTGGTTATTTTTATCCTAAATTAAAGTGAGTTGGTATTGCCACGAAAAGGGATGCTGCTTTTTTGTCAGTGTAGTGGTATGACTTATGAAGAAAACAGTTTTTTCATTTTGAGTTATTTATTCAATGTAATTTTTTGACTACTGTACATTAAGCCTAGCTCATCTTATAAAAATAGAGGTAACATTTCAATTTTCAATAACATTTTAATTTCTTTGCCTGCATTCTTGGATGAATGTTTATTTGACAGTACAAAATCTTACTCTGTGTGGGCTGAGTATGTAAGTTTTAATTTAGAACTAAGCTGTTAAGAAGGCACTGAGTGAGTTTCTTTTGTTTTACGAGTCATTTTGATTAGATTTTCTTTTATGTTTACTTAAATTAGAATTTTATTTGAGTGCCATGTCTAATGCCCTAAGTAGGTTTCTCTGGAAAATTAAAACAATATTAAGAAAGCTGTAATAATTTTACTTTAACTATGAAGACATTTTTAAACTTGCAGGTTTTAATCATTTTGGCATTCATAGACACCCAGTAATTGTGTCCAAAAGTAGCAATAAGTAATTTATAATATTATGAAAGTAATTTCTCCTAAAATTGAGCATAGTGTAGCATATCACTCATTAAACTTTAAAAAAAAATTAACCATTGATGATGTACTGAATGTTAGGTGCTACTGCTTTATCTTTCTGGGTTATGTCAGAAGACTAATTTCTTTTAAGATTAGTTAAATTCCTAATGTAGGCTGTAATCGCCTAGAAACTTTTTACTTGTTTGCAAAATTGTTGTGAGCAATTAGGGATGTTTTATTATTCTAATAGGATAGGGGTACTACTTTTATCTTAAACTTTACAATTTGGAGTACCTTCACATACATTATTCATTCATGACGTAGTCAGAATTACTACTTCCTTTGTCACATACATAATAAAACAGCAGAAACAGGCCTTTGGAGCTTATAGTTTGCAAAGACAGCAGGATGAGAAACCCCAGGAACATAAACTATATTTAGAATATTAGAGTGGAGGAAAAGATAGGAGTCTGAAGTAGGAACGTGATTCATGTTGGTGGCTATAGTTTTTTACTGTTGTTTCTTTCTCAGATGAAGAAAGCTGGTTATTTATCAACTTTTATGTAAAGGAGGTTACAAGGTTATCGGGGTAGATTTTTGTTCACATGGGAAGTGGAAAGATAGGAAGGCCAATAAAAGACACTACAGCCCTTTTACTGTTCCTAATCCTGTGTTCTGGAAGGTTCTCACAACAAGAAGGGAGACCTAAAGAATCTGAGTTGTTTCTACTTCCGTTCTGAAGTGAAGCACATGGAACTCTCAAATTATTCCTCTCCTGAACAAATGTTGGTTGGTGTTAAAATTGGCAGGTTACCAGAAAGAATTTATGTTTGGATTTTATTTTGATATTGACAGTTATATCTCTGTAGGTGGTAAGAGAAGGGAGGGTATTGTAGTGGGGAAGTCATAGGAACTGAACTGTGGTCTTGACCTTCTTAAAGACTTTGTAGCTCAGTCTTCACATCTTTAAATTAGGTTACCTAGAAAAGGGAACCTCTAAATTTTATTTCTAAATTTCTTTGAATTTTATACTGTTCTGGGATTTATAATATTCTGGAAAACAAGGAGCTCACAGTCCTAAGAAGAGATGATGTGGGAAATATGAAAAGCTAGCTTTTCTTATAAGACAGAGTCTGTTCTGTCTCCCATACTGGAGTGCAGTGGCATGATTTCGGTTTACTGCAATCTCTGCCTCCCGGGTTCAAGGGGTTCAAGCCATTCTCCTGCCTCAACCTCCTGAATTGCTGGGACTACAGGCACACACCACCACACCCAGCTAATTTTTTGTGTTAGCCAGGATGGTCTCGATCTCCAGACCTCGTGATCTGCTTACCTCTGCCTCCCAAAGTGCTGGGATTACAGGTGGTGTGAACCACCTCACCTTGCTAGAAAGCTAGCTTTTCTATCCTGCTTAACTATTTATCCTCCCTCTTTAATATTTGAATAGACAGCCACAGATAAGTCTGAAGTATGTAGTGCCAGAGTTACGGGTACTTTCTTTTGCTGCTTTTTGTGCTTATGTTTCCTTGTAAAATGTTTGTATACATATCTTGTAAATAGATAGTATTGCTAATGTCAGCAAAGGACTTGATCAGAATAAGAGTTGTATAGGTTTGCATTAGATAATCCGTTTATTTTATACAATTTAAAAATTTTTTTTTAATACAGGTTTGCAGCTAGCTAACAAAATACGTAATATATGGGAATGTATTTTCGAGAAGGGTCTCACTCTGTCGCCAGGTTGGATTGCAGTGGCTGCATCATGAAACACTGCAGCCTTGACCTCCTGGGCTTAAGTGATCCTCCCACTTCAGCCTCACGAGTGGCTGGGACCACAAGTGTGTGCCACCATGCCTGGCTAATTTTATTTACTTATTTATTTTGTTAGTTAGTTTTAGAGACAGGGTTTCCTTATGTTGCCCAGCCTGATTTTGAACTCCTTAGCTCACACAGTCCTTCTGCCTTGGCCCCCAAAAAATGTTGGGATTACAGAAATGAGCCATGGTGCCCGGTCAAAAATCTTTGTGTTTAAAGATATTTAATACTTTTTTTCGAGTAAAGTAATTTTTCTATGTACCCTAAGCTAGCCAGCCTCTTAATTATATTACTGCGTGTTTGTGTGTGTAAATACATACACAAAGTTTGAGTTTGATTATTGAATTTCCATATTGTTTTTATAACTTAATTCATGCTATTTATCTTTATGAAGAATGCTGAAAATTAACATGAGTGAATTTTATAGCTTATAAAGTGTGGCTTTAAGTATTCTTTATTCTTACTAGAAACAAATAACTTAGCCCATAAAGCACAGAAGAAAATCTTATACATTTGAGTTATAAACCTTTCTGCTTACTCCTTGAAAATACTGCTTAATGATTCTGTAATGACAGGTCATGGTAGCTTACAATGGATGTGTCATTGATTATTCCTTTGTGGTTCAAAGCTTTAAGATGGTTAACTTAGAGTGCCAAGCAAATCTTAAGGTGCTCTGAATAGTAAGAAACTTTGTTCTGATTATTTAAAGGTCATTGCAGTACTGGGGATC